GCGCGACTTTGTTGTGAGAAACACAATACTGTCCTGTAAATGTGTTTTCTTTTCCTTTTGTTTTACTTTTTTTTTTGTTTTTTTGTGTGTTTATTTATTTTTGAGAGAGAGAGAGCATGAGTGGGGCAGGGGTAGAGAGAGAGAGGGAGACGCAGAATCTGAAGCAGGCTCCAGGCTCCAAGCTGTCAGAGCAGAGCCCCATGTGGGGCTTGAACTCACGGACCACGAGATCATGACCTGAGCCGAAGTCAGACGCCCAACCAACTGAGCCACCCAGGCGCCCCTCCTTGTGTTTTCTTAATAGCATTTTCTTTCTCCTAGCTTTCTTCATTCTAAGAATACAGTTTATGTGTATTAATTTGCTATTTATGTTATGGGTAGGACTTCCAGTCAACAGTAGGCTATTTAGTAGTTAAATTTGGGGAGAGTAAGAAGTTATATGTGGATTTTCAACTGCACAGGGAGTTGGCACCCCTGACCCGCTGTCCTGTTCAAGAGCCAGCTGTACATACAAGTCTACAGCCTTATGTCCAGAGATCACATGGATGGTTATTTGTGGATTATTCTTCATGTTGGATGTGGCTGAAGTGATAAATGGCTCAGAAAATTCACATTTTAATAACCTCAAATGGAGTCTGACCCTTTGTATCTCTTTTCCTCACAGTCTTTTATAGCTCAGTGATCTTGGGATTCATTAGGAAAATCGAATGTTTGAGATCAAATCAGTCCTTTTCTATTTCCAAATAATCCTTGTTATCAGGTGCTTTCTAAAAACAGAAGAGGCATTAAAGGAAAACAGACGTGCATGGGTTTGAAATGTGTTTATCTTTTGGTAAGCTCTTTTTGAAAGAGGAACAACACTCTACAGTTTATTTGAATTTCTTTTCAAATAATATGCACCTTGAAATTGGCAGCGGTTGACCTATCTATCAGACTTAACCTTTTGCCTTTTTTACTTAATACTGGAGATGTTGGGGTTTCACACTTCTTGGGGCGTAGGAAATATGTCAGTACATCTAGGACACTGCTTCTCAATCTTGGTGTTACATTAGAATTACCTGGGGAGCTTTGAAATAGCCCAAGGCCAGGCCACCTCCCAGATTACTGAAATCAGACACTCTAGGGATGGAGCCCAGGCATCAGTGCTAGGTGATCTCCTCCCTCTCCTCCAGTGGGAGTGAAGGTTGTGACCCAGGCGTGCCTTTTTATGAATAAAGTTTTATTGGAACATAGCCACGTTCATTCATTTACCAGTTGTCTAGGGACCATGCGGTTTGCAAAGCCTAAAATATTTCCTGTTTGGCCATTTACCAAAAAAAAAAAAAAAAAAAAAAAAAAAAAAAAAAAAGGCATGCTGATCCCTGCTGTAGACTCGCAGTGAACATTTTTCAAACGTTTTGAAAAGAGGCTTTATACAAATTCCCAGTAGAAGAAAAAAAAAAAATCCAGCATTTTGCAGAGCCAGCAGGTTCAAGTACTGTCGGTTTACTTGTACACTGGGAAAATTGAAAAGCATTTTTCTTGCAGATGTTGTCACACCGGGAGGAGATGTCACCAGCTCCGTGGCTGGAGTGGGTGGTGAGGAGGCTTCGTTGTGTGTATGATGGCGCTTTGTGCTCTAAAGCTGACCCCTGGCTTCCCATTCAGTGTTCATTACTTAGACTGTGTAATTGACTTGAGGGAAGTGTGTAGAGGCAGAAACGGCAATTTGAGGGTTTGAAGATTGTTTGAGGTTGTTACCACCACTGCAGTGATTCTAGATGGCGGCAGACCCCCGAAAAGATTCCTTTCACGCCGAGGAATCTCACGTATAAAAAGAAAAACAGTGAAAAGTTAAAGTGCTCTTTACTTCGTTTCCATCCTCCCTCAGCTCAAGCGGAAAGTTGATGGTTATAAACCGTGTTGGTTGCTGGCCTCTTACGGGTGTGAAGTAGGAGAGAATGTATCATTTGGTCTAGTCCCTGGTCACCAGAGTGAGAGTTTTGAGCCAGCAGAATCAGCATCTCCTGGGACTGTGCCAGACTGAGGCCCCGCCCCATATTTACTGAATCAGGATCCACTTAGCCTCAGGCCATTTGCATGCCCAGTAAGAGAGCCCTGGGATGCACTGGTTTAACTGATAACTGGGTGCTGTGCAGTTAGGTGACTGCTGATTGTCACCACCCTCCTAAATGATTTCATGGCCCCTTAATTGCTCTCCTGATGTGGGCTGCTCATTAAGGGCAGCCAATTTTTCCCCTTTGCCTATTTCCAAGTATGGCTTGCTTGCCCTCTTAGTAAGGACTTAGGTGAAGGTAGAAGATGAAAATTGGGTGACTGAGCTAGGAGAGATACTGTTTCATATGTTTCAGGGAAACAAACTGGAAAGAGAAAAGGGAACTTCCCAGAAAACTTCAGTTGAAAGAAATTAATCAACCAGAATAGAGTCTTCTGGGCTTCTCCAAGAAGTAATGTGCCCATCAGAGCATTCATTTGTGCTGGGTGGGGGGGGGGGGGGCACTTGGGAGGGGCAAAAATGAGTCCCTTGAGCTTCTCAAATCGGCAGACAGAAGGTTAGGAACTCTGGCCTTTCCGTGTCAAACATTCAAAGTACATGTAGGCCTGTAGTAATTGGAAAACTGTCCAAAATTTAACATTCATAGATAATCTTGAGGAACCCTGCCAGCCTCTGTCATGTTAGTATGATTTATTTGATTGAAAGACATGATTTTGAAATTACTCTTTAATCCTTGGACAATATTGATTTTTCCTGAACGTTACCTTACATTGACTTTTTTTTTTTTTTTCAACGTTTATTTATTTTTGGGACAGAGAGAGACAGAGCATGAACGGGGGAGGGGCAGAGAGAGAGGGAGACACAGAATCGGAAACAGGCTCCAGGCTCTGAGCCATCAGCCCAGAGCCCGATGCGGGGCTCGAACTCACGGATCGCGAGATCGTGACCTGGCTGAAGTCGGACGCTTAACCGACTGCGCCACCCAGGCGCCCCTACCTTACATTGACTTTTAAATAAAGTTAATGTCACCTAAATTTAATTTTTTTGTTTATTGTTGAGATAGCGTGTGAGCAGGGGAGCGGCAGGGAGCAAGGGAGACAGGATCTGAAGCAGGCTCTGTGCTGACAGAGAGCTGATGCGGGGCTTGAACTCCTAGGCCGTGAGGTCATGACCTGAGCTGAAGTCGAAAGCTTAACTGACTTGAGCCACCCAGGTGCCCCTAAGTTTAATTTTTTAAATGCAGTATAAATCATTGAAGTCTAGCTGTTCTTGCTGGGGAGATAACGATCACATGTTTTGTAAAGCTCAGTGTCTGTTCCAGGGGCCATACGGGAAACAGAACAGGTCTCCATGTTTGTGGAAATGGCTAGGAAGTGCTGAGAAAGCAGAAGGGGGGCCCCTTTTAAGTCTTTGAGTGAGAGGTCAAAAAGCTTAGTTAAAAGCTGCCTCACTGTCCCAAAGACAGAGTCCGGTTGCCATAAAGACACAGGACTGTTGGGGCGCCTGGGTGGCGCAGTCGGTTAAGCGTCCG